CATACAGTATTTGTCCTTTTGTGCTTGACTAGCTTCACTCAGCATGATATCTTCCAGATCCCTCCATGAGTTGAGGTGCTTCATGGCTTCATCACTGTTATTTAAGGATGCCTAGTATTCCATTGTGCGTATATGTATCAGAGCTTTTTATCCTCTCTTCTGATGGGAATTTAGTCTCTTTCCAGCTTCTTGATATTGTTAACTGTGCTGCGATAAACATGGGGAAGCAAATGTCAATTCATGCTCCGTTTCTTATTTATTTTAGGTATATGCCCAGTAATGGTATTACTGGGTCATATGGTAGTTCAATTGCTATCTGTTTTAGGTATTGCCTTATTGCCTTCCAGAGTGGTTGTATATAAGTAAAAGACAACCAACCAGCAGTGGATAGGAGTTCCTATTTCACCATACCCTCTCCAACATTTGTTCTCAGTTTTTGTTTTTTTGTTTTTAATTGGGCTATATTAATGTGTGTTAAGTGGTATCTCATTGTTGTTTTGACTTGCATTATCTGGATGGCTAATGACCTGGAACATTTCCTCATGTGTTTATTAGCTGTTGGAGTGTTATACTTTGTGAATTGTTCAGGTCTTTTGCCCACCTTCTCAGAGGGCTATTAGTTTTATCTTGTAAGCTTCTAAAATTCTGTAGATCTTAGTAATCAGTCTTTTGTCTGTATGTTGTTACTAAATATCTTTTCCCAATCAGTGGGCTCTCTTTTTACTCTTTTAATTACGTCTTTTGATATACACAAGAGTTTTATTTTTAACACTTCTTTATCACATTCATTTAGTTTATCTTCTATGGAGTGTGTTTCCTTTGTTAATTCTGTAGCCCGTGTATTCCCTGCACTAGGGCTCCTAGCTTTGTCTGAATTTTCATTGATTATCCTAATAGTTTTGTGTTTTAATTCTATGTCTTTAATCCACCTTGAGTTTGTTTTTGTGCATGGAGTGAAATATGAGTCTCATTTCATTCTTCTGCATGTGGGTATCCAGATTTTCCAACACCATTTATTGAAGAGAGCATCTGCATTCCATCTAATGTTTTTGGAGCCTTTGGCAAAAATAAATTGTGTCTTTGTGGATGTGTTTATGTCTGGGTTTTCTGTCCTGAACTACATGTCGGAGTATCTATCATTACACCAGTACCAAGCTATTTTGACAACTGTGGCTGTATAGTAGGTTTTGAGGTTGGAAAGAGTAAGATCACCTTCCTTATACTTCTATTTTTAGGAGTTTGTTGCCTATCCTAGGCTTCTTCTCTCTCCATATGAAGTTGGTAATCAGTTTTTCTATTTCTTTGAAGAATGCTTCTGGAGTTTGGATCAGGATTGCATTGAATTTTAGATTGCTTTAGATGGTATTGACATTTTCACTATATTGAGTCTTCTGATCCACGAACACGGAATATTCTCCCATTTGGGTAGATCCTCTTTTGTCCCATGTGGTAATGCTCTGCAGTTTTCTTTGTACAGGTCTTTGGTTTATTTGGTTAGGTTTATTCCTAGGTACTTCAGCTTTGGGTGGTTTTTGTGAATGGTACTGATCCCTTGATATCTTTTTCTGTATTTCCATCACTGGAAATAGGAATCCAACTAACTTCTGCTTGCTAATCATGTATCCTGCTACTTTACTAAATTCCTCTGTTATTTCCAGCAATCCCATTGTGGACCCCTTAGGATTCTACATGCAGAAGATCATATCGCCTGCAAATAGTGAAAGTTTCACCTCTTCTTTACCCTATTGTACACACTTGATTTCTTTCTGTTATTTTATGGCATTTTCCAGGACTTCCCACATAATGTTGAATAGAAATGGAAATAAGGGGCGGCCTTGTTGGGTTCCCTTGGTCAGTGGAAATGTTTTCAGCTTTTCTCCATTGTGTGTAATATTAGCTGTTGTTTTTTCATATATGGCTTTCATTGTATTGAGGATTTTCCCTTCTAACCCTATCTTCTTGAGAGTCTTTACTTGGAATGGATGTTGATGTTATCAGATACTTTTTATGCATCAATTGATATGATTATATGGTTCTTGTCCATTTTCTTGTTGATGTGGTAGATTGTATTCATTGTTTTTTGAATGTTGGACCATCCCTGGTATGAATCCCACTTGGTCATGATGTATTATTTTGGGGGGGGGATATGCTGTTGGATTCCATTGGCCAGAATTTTGTTGAGGATTTTTGCATCTATGTTTATGAAAGATATCAGTCTGGAGTTTTCTATCCTTGTGGGGTCTATGTCCAATTTTGGTGTCAGGTTTAAGCTGGATTCATAGAATGAGTTTGTCAGTTTGTTATTCCTTCCTATGTTCTGGAAGAGTCTATGTAGGATTGGTGTCAGTTCTTCTCTGAATAATTGATAGAATTCTCCTGTGAAGCCATCTATATTGGAGCTTTTATTGGTTAGAGTTTTTTTGATGACCTTGTCTATTTCTTCTTTTGTTATGAGTCTGTTCAAGTTCTTAATGCCCATTTGCATTAATTTGGGGAGAGTGATTTTCTTTCTTCTTCTTCTTTTTTGTTACATAAACTATGTAGAGACTTATTTTCTAGATATTTGTCCATGTCCTCCAAATTATTGAATTTGTTGGAATACAGTCTTCTGTAGTACTCTGTAATTAATCTAATCCTTTTATTTCATTAGGGTCTGTTGTGCCTTTTCCTGTTTCATCCATAATTCTAGTTATTGACATCTGGTCCTTTTTTGCCTTTGATAAATTTGCT